CTCCATGTCACAAGGATAATAACTCTTTCAAAATGTTATGTATTTTCCTTGAATGATATTTCACGCGAACTTGAGAAAATTTTAATAATCAATGTTCTATATCAATTCCAGAACCACAAACAAAAACTCCAGGACAGTTCTTACAGAAGCAATCTCCAATACAAAAGTCCATCGATGTTCTAAAGTTGACTAAATGGAGACTTGGCTATAAGACTAGTAAATAAGAAAATAGATATTTTTAAAAAAAATTGTTTGTTTTTTAATTTGATAATGGGTTAATTTCATGTCTCATGTTTCTGATCAATATTTCCATAGCAGATGATCAGACGAGCTACAATCCCCAGTTCCACCAGTCCAGGCTTTCACAAGATCCTCCGTACCACCTACACAGAGTCGAAACATCCTCATCTCCATCGTATTCCGTTGGTAAGAGGAAAGTTCCATTCAAACTTATTCATCCCGAGAACAGCTATGCTGTGTTACGAGAAATGTTACGCTGTTTTTTTTTTTTCATTTTTAATACTTGTAAGAATTTTTAAGATTTTATTTTGGAGATAATAATGATTTATTGGTACAAGTTTTACTAATTAACTCATAGCTGGGTGAGAAGAGGTGAATTCATACTTTTCTCATGTGTATTTTGCGCGTAAGTGAATATAACGAACACAACGGGAAATGGAACTCGGCTCTCTGATTAACAATTCCGAACCATTATCCATTACCCCACCGGCACATCCAAGCTTACTGGTATTCCTAAACAGTCACCTATCTCATTAGTGACCAGGATCAACGTTACTTAACTTTGGTGATCGTACTGGAACTGGTATTTCAAAGTGATGTGGCCGTAAGCCTGTTACGCTGTGGAACACACTACCGAAAGGATAGTTTCCCCATCACGACAATCTTAGCCTATTCATGACTATGGTCAACGAATAAAAGGTTCGGTTCGAAATGGTAACAAATATCACCTGAAGAATGACCGAGTGTACAACGGTTGAAACGTTGTAAATATGACAGTAAAGATGAGGACAACAGTTCAAACAACGTAAATTGTGTAAAAAGAAAATATCCCTCTTCAACAAACGCGTCAGCTCCCGTTATGAACTCTGAACTTAATGCCGTTACAGATTTTCTTTTATTATTTTGTTCTCCTTTTCATTGTAGTATTATTATCTTTGTCATTTATTCTACATATCCTCTTAATATGCACCTTTTACGCTCTCCTTGCACATCCTTCCAACAACCTCATTCAGTAGCCTTGAGTGGCTCTTGGGCCTTGTATTGTACAATATTATATAAAAAAAAGTAAATATCTATTTATGCTATTTACATTGTTCGGACTGTTGTCCTCATCTTTACTGTCATATTCACAACGTTTCGGCCGGTGTAAGCTCTTCAGGTGAATTATCTTGGAATATCTTAGTTTCAGTTATTTCCCTTTAGTCACTCGGCTCTCCAAGTTTTTGATATCCAGAAACGGCATGACACGTGGGACGAGAACAATCTACACCAGTGGACTAAATAAAGGATTCAGTTCAAAATTTCAGCGTATCTCAGCTGACGAAGGCCGGAGCGTACAAAGGCCGAAACGTTGTGAATATGTCAATAAAAATGAGGACAGCAGTCCGAACAATGTAAATATTGTAAATAGTTACCATAACTCATCTCAGAAATATAGACAGATACATATCTATTTGTATAACAGATTTCAAAGCCTGGCATTATAGATGAGAAAAAGAAAAAAAGAAGATGTCCCTGTCGGCTATAAAATAAGGCGAAATAAGACATGTAGGAAAGTGCGTAAAAGTGGAAAAAATGTCTATACGATTTTCTCAGGAGAAATTGTGGAGTTGTGAAGAATATGAGAGCAATTATTAAGAAGAACTTAAATAGCAACAATGGAGAAGAAAAACACACGCATAAAAGATACAAATCATCACATAATTAAAATAAAATTACAGAAAAACGAATTAAATTGAATCTGATATACATTACAATACTTATAATAAGAAAAAGTACAGAAAATTGTAGTCTATAAACAATAAAAGAAATATAGTGAAATTACAGTAAAAATATACAGTCGATAAAAAGAAAGATCGAATGATACATAAAGGTTTCAATATACAAAAATATATTGAATTATCATCCAGAAAATAAAAGAGAGATAAAAATTTCAGCACAAAGAGAAAAAAATTATTACAGAAAATTATAATTTTATTATAAATGAAATATATGACGAAATTGTATGCTTGATAACCGCCATATACGTATGAAATTAATATCTTGTTCTGTGGTGTATGGAAAAATGAAAATAAAAATATCCCTCCCATCAAAAAAAAAAAAAAAAAAAAAAAATCCCAGCACGCAATTAAATGTTATGGTTTGATGAATGGGAAAATGTAGAAAGATGAAATTATCTGGTGGAAAGTGTACCTGAAATTCAGTGCCACACAACAAAATCTACATTAGCCTAAAAAAAAATATTGAAGTTAAACGGCTGGAAGCATGGTTTTTACTTTAACTTTATCGTTAGATAAATTTGATTTTAATTTGTTTCAAGTCATTATCAAAAATTGAATGTTGTCATTATAGTAGACAAGATTCTGTTGGCTATAGCCTATCATTTTCGGAATGCATGTATTCAAGTATATTGTATATGTGACGTCATATATAAATGATTACGCGATTAAAAAAAATTAAATAAATAACTCATTTAAAGCTAAAATTTTAATATCAGACAGTGTAGAAGGTTTAAAAACATTTTTTATTTAAATTTTAACATTAATTTCGCTTTTTGCCGTAATTTCAGTTGATATAATCTAATTAAATCGTAATTAAAACCTAGGCGAGACATGCTCATATTTTTTTTTCTAGCACGCGTACTGTGACGTATTACATAGTTCGGGTTCTCTAATGTCTTTTAAGAGTGACTTTATGTGAAAGGATCATAAATATTCGTGATTTTTAGAGAAAATAAAAATTTTGTGTGTTAAATCGTTTGGGTATACGAAGAAAGATTATGCCGAATTAAGGTGTTAAATAATGGTGTCGAATAAAGATAAAATAATTTTATTATTTCTAAATTCATATAACTTTTACGTACATAGTTACGCTGACGATAAAAGGCCGAAGGCCGAAAGCACTCCACAGAAGCTAGCCTAAAGTCCGCCCGAAGAGCGCATTCTAGGACTGTTAAAAATAAAAAAAAGACTATTAACTACAAGAAGATAGAAAATATTGTCATCAGCAAGAGAAAAAAATCCAAAATACGGGATACAAACTGGAGAGGTAAACATCAAGCAAGTAGCGAAGAATAAGCATCTGGGGAGTGTTTTAAAAGTGGATGGAAAATATGACACCGAAATCCGAACATCCATTTGACTAGCGAAAGACGCATTCCAAAATCTAAGCAAAGTACTGAGAAACAGAAGAAGTATTTGGAATCAAAGAAAAGAGTGTTGGGTTACTATGTAATATTCATCCTCATATTGCTGTGAATGTTGGACAATCTTCCCACGGATGAGAATAAAATTTGAGGTAACATAAATTTGGTTCTGCAGAAGGATACTGAGTATTCCACGAATGTTGTCAAAGAAAATGGCAACAATATATGCGGTATCATTACTTATACTCAGAATCAAGAAGAAAACTGAAATTTCTTGGACACAAAGGGAGAGGTGCTTGGAAAACTTGACACTGACAGGAAATATTGAGGGCAAGAAATATAGGAGAAGGCAGTGGGACACTTAGCTGATGAACTTGTGTAAGTGGATAGCAGAACAGGGTGGAGGCTTAAGAAAGGGAGAAAAACTGATAAGAGTCACAAGTGATAGGAAATTGCAGAGAGGCATGGTCGTCCATGACCTGAAGTGACGTGGTATATAGAAGAGATAGTTTATCTTCATCTGATTGATAGCAAACTTGAGAACACTGGCTGGCGTCGGTGACTGACTGGGCCCAAAGAAACAACTTCTCTACCCAGAACTGTTCCTTACCAGGCCCAAAACCTCAATGAAGAATCTTGGCGGCAGGAAATCTCGCCTTTTTGCTAGTAGCTGATTAGTCAATTCACGGGCCAATGTAAAGACCACGCCATATCCTGCTTCTTTTCCTTTTTTCTTGCGGGAGATTGTGACCGCCGAATATATACGATATATTTCCAATAACCGGTGCTACTGATTATTAGGAGAGTTTTTAAACTTTGAACTCAAATTATTCTCCTTTATTCTACCCCGACGATGTTACATATTAGGATTATTTGTTAGTTTGATATTCCGCTGGAAGTTTTTACGTTGTAAACTCAAAATAAAGTTTGAGTATATAGATAATATTTCGACCGTGATTATTTAATAAACTGCGTATAATTACTTAAATGTTTAAAAAAAAAATCTCATTCAAATATTGAATTTAAAAAAAAAAATTGTTTTTATTAATTGATTGAAAATCTGTAGGCAGTAGATATTAATATAAATGTCAGTTTATTATTAAAATAGTTCTTGACACAATGGGATTATCTCTGAAGAGAATGAAGAAGTGTTTGATAGCATAATGGGTTAGTGTAAGAATGTCGTTTTTTTTCTTTCATTTATTGAATAAGCTTTTTCAAACGACGATTGTAAATCAATGAAGGAATCAGTAAGAAATTGTTTCTTCGTATCGATTAATCCGGACTCACATTGTAATGAAAGAAGCGTTGTACGTAAACATGGCGGAAGTTTTAACAGAGACAAAACAAACATTCTATTAAAGAACTTATTGAGTATAAAATACATTTATATGTAAATTTAATTTCCTTTCTTGTTAAAAACATCACTGATGGAACAGTATTAAATGGAGGAGATAAAACAAAAGAACAAGAACGTGGTGAATATCATAGCTATGTTTTAAAGTGACATTTTAAACTGGTGTTTAACAGCAGATCCATAATGTAAATGATCACTAGACATTTTGATAATAGCTGTATTATAGTAGCCAAGTGTTAGATCGTTCACTTTCTCGTCATGCGGCCATAACACATCGAAACACTGGTTCCCGTACAAGCACAAAAGTTAAGCAGACTCGAACCTTGTCAGTATTTAGATGAGTGACCGGTTGGGAATATCAGATGCTGTTAAGCTTGGATGTGCAGTGGTGCAATTGATAATGGTTCGGAATTATTAAGTTGGAGAGCTGATTTCCAGTTCGGGTTCATTAATTACGCGAAAGTAATCTTTGGAAAAATATGAATCCACCACTTTTCCCCCCAGCTATGAGTACATTAGTAAGACGTATCAGTAAGTTATTATCTCCCAGCGAAAATTATTACAATCTAAAAATATTTCTTGGCTTTGAATAACCTGCAAAGGGTTGATAAGCCGTATAAAACGAATAAATCAATTCTCGCCTTGAGTCCCGGGTTCGAATCTCATCATTGTCGATTTATCAGCAATGCGACATTTTCGCCTGTGGATGCAAATCTAACGAGCGGCACAACTAGAAAATGTCTGAAAACATTAACACAGGTTAAACTAAGCTTTACGAGTGAAACCAGGTAGACGGCCTTGTTCGTCGATGGCTGTGCTAGTGCGATGCCACAAGTCATTATGACCGAGTGTTTGAACTGGCCTTGGTCAGACTGTTGATCCCGTTAGGTGTTGTGCTCTCACGCGTACGGATGAGATCTTGTTTTCGATTTTCTAGAAAACAAAGCTTGCATCAAATAAGAATACAAAATGAAGATACAATCAAATAAGTGATAATTCCTGATTGGAATATGCTGTGAAATGCAATAGGTTGCAGGTTTATCGTCGTGCAAGGGTGGGCATTAAAAATACGAGCCGTGTTCAAATAGCATCTAAATCTGTTGCGTCTATTTTGTACAAATGTCCTTTGAAAAGGCATGAACCTGTCATTTCTTACATCACCTACAGCTAAAATATCAAGACCGAACCAGCTGTCTAGCATTGGTTGGCAACCTGTCTACGAGAAGGTAAATTCTGAAAGCTACTGTAACTGCTCAGATTAAAAAGTATTTTAATGGAGAAATTAGCGACCTAACATAAAAATGAACCCTTTCCACATCTGTGATGTTGTTATTACTAATGTTCTAAGTTTACTACAGTAGATAGTCATACGGGATAATGCCTAGTGGATAAAAGCGTTGGTGTACAAATTTGATGCTGTAGTGGTTGTAAGTTCAATCTCTGGGTCGGGCAGTCTTTATTTACACTAAGTGGAAACGGGTGAACAATAATTGAACAGTACAAAAAAAATTAAGAACTAGACTACATATCCCTAGGTAGTGGGAAGAGATACAGTTCATCCATTTATAGATTAAATAACAGGTTCAGTTCAGAATTTCCTGTAGGTTATCTAGGTCGATATAAACCTGAGGAAGGCCGGAGGCGTAACGACCGAACCGTCTTTTTTTTCTTAAGAAGTGATAGCAACAACAAAAATGAGAACAGTAGTTGAATAAAAATACTGTAAATCATGGTAACTTCTCAACCCAGATTAAAAATATATATACATATGTACATGTATGTATATATTATATAGTGATATAAAATATATATCATATATTGATATAAAATAGATAAATAGACAAACAAATAAAAATATAAATAAAAGTAAAGAAAAAAAAGGAGCATTTTAACTGGTTCTAAATTTAAATGTTATATTTTAAAGGCAAATTTAGTGCGGTGAGAATTTGAAATCGATAGTTTTTGTTCCGAAGCGTATAAATATCGAATCCGACAATAATTTCCATAGATTTATCGAACATCTGACCTAACAAGCGATAATCCACTTACATCTATTGATTTATTGGCCACACACACACACACACACGCACACACACATATACACACATACACATATACACATATACATATATATATGCATGTTCTGTGACAAAAAGTGGAGATCCCTAGCCGGCCTGGAAAGACCTATCTGTGTTGCTCACAGATGAAATCGATTTTGAAGTGATTCTAGGGATAATTATACTCAAGACAAGGAATCCACCATAACATGCACACACACAAACACACACATACACATACACATATATATATAACCAAGAAATTAGAAAAAAAATCAGATGTTTATTATTTGGACAAATGTGTCGGAAATTTTTATTAATTTTATATATATATATATATATATATATATATATGTATGTATGCATATAATACGTAATTGGAAAAGTGCATATCAAGTTTTGGGTACGCACAAATATATATGTGTATATATATATATGCATGTATTTTATATTATTGTATATATATATATATATATATATATATATATATATATATATATATATGAATGAATGTAAAATATATGTAGATATATTCTCATCAAAGAAGTTAATCGAGCAAGGAGACAAAAGAAAAAGAGAAAAAAGATTGAAGTACCAGTTGAGAAAGAATGAAAAAAAAGATACGAGGAATGATGGAGAGTGGGTGATTTTATGATGAATGAATAAATGAATGATGTCGGCGGTAACGGAGCGCCATCAAATCAAGATGGCGTTTTTGAAAAAAAATTGAGCAAGATGAAAGCGTGTTACCGGATATAGATCGGCTGCGATGAAACTTGGCGCGCATGCTCCAACAGACTAAATTGAGAAAAA